TGTTTAACTGCTGGAACAGACTCCCTGGGAAGTGGCAGCTTCTCCATCCCTCCAAGCCCTCACAACCACAATCACTACTTTTCTGGAAGATATTTTTGCCAAAAACAAGCCATCAGGCTCAACAGAGGGATATAAGAGTGAAGCTCTCTGTTCTGTGGGGTATGGGAAGGACAGCCAGCCCTTATCTTCATGCGGGTTGCTTGGACTGTGGAAAAACACAGATGAAAGGGCAGGAAAGGAGCATCTCTAACAGGCTGTCGGAACTCAAGCATGCCTGAGGGATGGAGCAAGAGCTCGAGCAGCTTCAGAAGAGGGAATAAGCAAGAGGAAGAGGAGGAGAGCAGGCAGCAGCCAGCTGATGCTGCTGGTGACCTGGGAACACAGAGCCATGCCCCAGGCTGTGCACCACGGGGTGGGACAACTCCTCGTTTGAAGTTCAGCTGCCTTTGCCGGTTACAGCCCCAAGGAGACTGAAGGGCCACAGCTCTGTTACTCCAGTTTTCTGCTTATGGCAACATCTTCTCACATGTGGTGAACGTGGAGTTGAACAAACTCAGGCGGGTTCTAAAGCTGCTTTGCTGTCTCTGGGAGAGAGCGTGGGGATGTGCCCCTGCACCCTTCCTAACGGCGCTGGAGTGGGAGGGTCTGCTTAATAGGTTTGTCTGAAGGTCCAAATAATCAGCCTTGTTTCCAAAAGCTAAAGTCCCCAAAAGCTCCTGCGATTAATTAAAATGTGCAAAGAGATCGAGTGGTACCCTCTGGGCTTTCCCCATCTAGTGGGAAGCACGTGGGTCTTCACTGGCCCTGTGGGTCTCAGAAGATGTGGCTGGCCTGAGCTCACATCAGCTCACTTGAGACATGAGCCCTTCCTGCCCATAAATCAGGAGTTGGGGCCAGGAGACCTCCTGAGGCGCGGGACGGGTCTGCCTTCAGGTGCTCCTCGCCTGCAGCTCCGAGGGCTGCAGTGGCAGCTCTGCTTAATGGGTCTGCAAAGTAATTAAAGCAAGAAAGCTCCCTCAACTCCTGGGGGACTAATAGCGGACCAGATTCCTGTCTGTTATTCCTTCTCTACCGCTACAGCTGTATCGCTGGCTCAGCCTTCACAACGGGAGCCCTCTGTGACTCCAAAAGCCAAACCCTTTCTGCAGTTGCGCTGGTTGGAGCCGTGCATCTTCCTGGGGGTCACTGGGGCTGCCTCCACCGAGATGCCTGGCACCACATGGCAAAGCAGGAGCTGGTCTCTGCCTGCTGGGTGCTGCCAGCCTGGGGCCACGCTCACACAGGGTTTTCCATATGGGAGGGGAGTGCCAGGGGACTGGGGAAAGGGCACTGCTCGGTGGGAAAGCCACCCCGGTTGCAGACAAGATGGGTTCCAAGAGCAACTGCTTCCCAAGCTGGTCACCGTTTGAAGAGGAGCCAGTAGCTGCAGGTGCTGGGCATCCCCAGTGTGATTTTTAACTGGGATTCACTCATTCCAGTGGTAGGAGTGGCACCGAAGCACCGGCCCGGCTGGGGGAAGTGCCCACACCTGGGGTGTTTGTTTCCACCACGCTGGATGTGGGCGCAGTCCATCACCCACAAACGCTTGGTGTCACCAGCTCCTGGTAATTTATTGCGAGTAACGTGACTTTGGCCCCGGCCGCCAGCGGGCTTGTGATGACGCGAAAAGCTGCAGCTGTCTTCAGTGCTTCTCTGCAGCGAGCTGAAGAGCTCGAGCGCCTCGAGGCCGGCGCTGAACAGCTCCTTTTCCAGCCCCAGGTCGTTTTTCTGGCCCTCCTTTGAACTCTCTTTGGTATTTCCACATCCTTCTCAAAATGGAGACTTTGGAGCTAGCCTTGCCAGCAAGGCAAAGCCAAATCACTGCTATCCCCTCGCCTCCTGCAGATGCTGGAGGGAGAAGTGGGTCCCTGTGCTGCCCTGGGGGCATTGCCTGCACCAAAATACTTTCTGTTCAGCCATGGTCATCTTGTGCTTTGCAGAACAGTTCATCCAGCGTCGCTGCCCAGCACATCTTGTGGCAGCCGCGTGTGTTCTCTCAGAAAAGCTGTGTACCCTTAGCGAGATCAGAAGCTCACAAATCATGGCCAGTGCTTCCCAGGGGACAAGCATCTCTCCTCGTGCCCAGCCCAGGAGATGCCGAATGGCACAGCTCTGCCTGGGAGCTGCCGTGGCAGGAGCCGCGGGCTCAGCTCCACAGGGGAGCAGAGTTTGCCTGAGCACCCTTGGGAGGAGCGAGTGCCAGGACGTGAGATTTGGCAGCAACCAGAGCAGGTTGCAGGGCCAGGCAGCTCCTCACACCCCCATGTTGCAAACCTTGCTGCTGCTGAGCCTTGAGAGCAGGGGGATGCTGGCGTCCAAACAGCAAACCCCCAGGGACCACCCTGCCCGGAGAGGCAGGAGCTCAGCTGAAGGCTGGAGCTTCTGGTACCAGCTTCCCATCGTGACAAGACCATCACAAGTCCCCTGCCAAACAGATCTTGGAACCCATATGGAAATTTTGAGGGCAGCCACGAGTTCTCTGGCCTCTATTGCTCCCATAACTTGGGGGCAAAAGCAGTGGAGATATGGAGAGGAGGCAAAAAAAAAAGCCCAAGGGGGCTGCTGGAAAGACCTAAGAGCCTGAGGTGACAGGGAGCTGGGAGCACTGAACTCACTGACTTTTAACTCACAACTGTGGGGCTGAACACTGAGATCCGTGCTCACCTTTGGCCTTGCTGTAAACTCAAGTAATTACTCATCTAATGACTCCCGCTAATCAGCGTGACTTGCTGGGGAGCCAGCAGTGTCCTGGACACTGCCTCTCCCACCCGCCGTGAGCCCAAGCTGTGTGGGCTGGCACAGCCCCTGTGGCTGTGTGGATGTCCCCTGGGGGGACATCCCCAGGGTGTGGGGCAGCAGGGACTGGGGTGGTGGCACGCACCACAGGGACAGCACATGGCTGTAGTATTGAGCAACTGCAGCTCATCCTGCCCAGGAGCTTCGGCCTCATGGGCTGAGCCTCCTCGGGCTGCACAAGCCTCTCCCTTCACCCTCGTGTCTCCTCCGACGCCCGGGGTCTGCAGGGGCAGCAGTTACCAAGCTGATGGGGAACAGAGCCCCATGGTTTTGGCTGGGAGCAACGAGGGGAGAGCAGAAGGTGGCTTTTTTCCTCCAGCACTGTGCCAAAAGCTTCCCCAGAACGTGGGAAGTGGGTTTGGATCTGCCTTTGCCAGGGCAGCCCGGTGCTGCTGGAACTGGTTGGTGGGCTGAGCTGGGCTGGGGAGAGGATGGGGATCAGCAGTCGGGTGGGTATTTGCCTCATGCTGGACACTGCTGCCTGGGGTGGTGCCACGCACCACAGGGACAGCACATGGCTGTAGTATTGAGCAACTGCAGCTCATCCTGCCCAGGAGCTTCGGCCTCATGGGCTGAGCCTCCTCGGGCTGCACAAGCCTCTCCCTTCACCCTCGTGTCTCCTCCGACGCCCGGGGTCTGCAGGGGCAGCAGTTACCAAGCTGATGGGGAACAGAGCCCCATGGTTTTGGCTGGGAGCAACGAGGGGAGAGCAGAAGGTGGCTTTTTTCCTCCAGCACTGTGCCAAAAGCTTCCCCAGAACGTGGGAAGTGGGTTTGGATCTGCCTTTGCCAGGCCAGCCCGGTGCTGCAGGAACTGGTTGGTGGGCTGAGCTGGGCTGGGGAGAGGATGGGGATCAGCAGTCGGGTGGGTATTTGCCTCATGCTGGACACTGCTGCAAAATTGCTCTGCGTTTCATCTGCTGGCATCTTCACCCAAAATGCATGTTAATCAGGGGCTGTGTGAGGGCTTCCCACCCACAGGACGGATACCTGTACCTGTGCGAGGGATCTGTGATTCCACCTGCCCATCCTGCCCTGTAGCCTGGGGCCCTGGAGACCCCTTCCATGCCCCTCTGGGGTGGCAGACCCTTTCCTGGCACCATCCTGACCACGCAGAACTTTCCTTGGGCCTCCCCAGGCAGCGTGCAGGGAGTCACAGGGTGCTCGATCCATGCTCCTTTCCACAGCAGCAGCAGGTCATCCTCACTGTGCGGGTCAGACGCTGCCAACCAGTCCCTGGTGCCAGCATGACCATCGCTGCTGGGTGTCTGACACTGCCCATGGGTTGGGGACATCATCCCAATTGCCCTGGGGCACACGGTCCCTCCGGGGCAGCCAGCCTGGGGGTTTATCCAGAGTGCTGGTGCGTGTGAAGGGGGCCCAGCACCCAGACGGTGCCCGGTGCACCCAGAGAAGCGGCGTGAGGCTCCATCTCACCCAGCATCACCCAGGACACCCAGAGCAGCGGTGGGGCCAGGGCCCCATCCTGCAGAACAGCAGGCGAGAGGCTGAGACTGCCCTTTCCCTTCCCACAACCCTGCTTCATTTACCGCACACCTCCCGGCTCCTGCAGCGGATGAGGGGGGGCCCTGCCGGCCGTGGCCCCTGTCACTGCGCAGCCCTCCCTCCCTCCCGGGGGCTGGGGCCCATCCTGTGTGCTGAGCGAGGCCGTGCCCCGCGGGAGAAAGTAGTATGTGGTGACGTAATTAAAGGCTGCATCGTTAAGGCATGTGTGCAGGGGCTGAACGTTTCCTACTTCTTGAGTGCTTGGCTGCCCCGCGCTGTGCTCGTTGGGTGCTCAACTCCACGGGAGGCTTTGGAGCAGGAGAAATACCTCTGGGACCTGGGGCACCCTCAGAGGTCACCAAAGCCAGCGTGCTGTGAAGAGAGCTGGAGAGCACAGGAGAGCTCTGGTGGGTACAGAGTGGGGTGCAGGGTGACCTTCCTGCTCCAGAGACATCGGTGTCCCCCATACCTGAGCTGGAGCTGGGGCACAGGTCCACAGCAAGGGTACATGAAGGTCTGTGGGAACGTGGAAGGGCATCCATGCTGCTCCCCGTGCTCCACAGCCCAGCCAGAAGCCAAGCTCCTTTGGAGGGTATCAGTGTCTCCCAGCGTGGGCAGAGCGATGTATTCTTCCCTTAATCTCTTTCCTGGAAGCAGTAGTGCCATTTTGGCTGGGACCGCACAAAAACCCAGCTCTCCCCAAGGCAGACATCTGGCACACAACATTTTCCTCCCAACCGCCAAATTTTTGCTAGCCTGCAGGCAGGGAAGCCAGCCCCTCCTGCCCACTCCCGCTGGGAGACAGGGGGGACCGTCGTGCTGCTGACTGTCCCCTCTGCCCCGCAGGACTACTGGCTGTCCCTGCTCTACAAGCGCCTCATCGGTCCCAAAGTCCTGGCAATCCACGTGGCCGGTCTCCAGAGGAAACCCCGGCCGGGCAGAGTCATTCGGGACAAGCTCCGCATTTACGCCCACTGCACCAGCTACCACAAGTAAGGGGAGCAAGGGAGGCTGGGGGCTGCTGGGGGTGGGATGAGAAGGACCCCCAGGAGATGGGGACCATCGGGGACAGGCTGGGGCAGGAGCCCAGGCTTTGGCTTTGGCTCTGGCAAGGCAGGTTGGCTCCCTAGGGGGGCTTGCTCGGGCACTGCTCTGGCCACTGTGGTGGTGGAGGGAGCGGAGGGGAAGGAGGATGATGAAAGTCCCAGCAAGTTCCCTGCCTGGGAACGGGGCCGGAGCGGTGGCCGACGGGCCAGCGGAGATCAAGGGAGTGGATTTCACAGGAGAGGCCCCGGTCGGTCGGGTTACCCGCTGGCCCTGCTGCCGGGGAGCCCGGCCTGGTTATTGTTTCGCTGATAAGGTCTTTGAAAGCGCCCCTGTGAGCCGGGGAGGGGGGCGGCCACCTCCTCCTGCAGACACAAGTTGCTATTGTGGAGGAGGAGAGACTGTTTCTTTACACAGTCCAGATGCTTTCAACATGCCTCCAGCTCGGTAGGAAACCTTGTCCAGTAACTGACAGGTGCAAAGTGCTTTATAGCCTTTGTTTGGGGCTGCCTGGTTAGGCAGGGACAGAGGATCAGTGTCTGGACCTGTCAGTTAGTGCCCGGGGCAGCGGGGAGCGGGGGGAGATGCCCCTCACACCCAGAGCTCCCCCCCATTCTCTGCCTCTTTCTTGCAAGGCCCTGGGAGGGGGGGGCTGCCCTGGGACCACCACCCCAGCAGCACCCCCTCAAGCCGTGCCACCCCTGTCTGAGGAGGGGAGAAGGACATTTGGGAAGGTGTCTTTGAGGAGCTGGGCTTTGTGATGGGGAGGTGGCATCTCCCTGTGGAGGGGCAGCCAGGACAGTGGTGTCCCCTCTGGATGGCTGCACGAGGCTGGGTCTCGCAGAGACCCCTTCTTGGAGGTGATGCTCCTTGGGCGCACACCATCATGCCCCTCAGCTCCCCCTCTCCCCTTTGCAGCCACAACTACGTCCGGGGCTCCATCACCCTTTACATCATCAACTTGCATCGCTCCCGGAAGAAAATCAAGCTGGCAGGGACGCTGCGGGACAAGATCGTCCACCAGTACCTGCTGCAGCCCTACGGCAAGGAGGGGCTCCACTCCAAGTAAGTGTGGTGCTGGTGGCTGGGGCTGCCGCCGGGCACCCGCTGCCACCGCCCTGACCCTCTCCTGGCCCCACAGGTCAGTCCAGCTCAACGGGCAGCCGCTGGCGATGGTGGACGATGGGACCCTTCCCGAGCTAAAGCCCCGTCCGCTGCGGGCCGGCCGTACCCTGGTCATACCCCCGCTGACCATGAGCTTCTACGTGGTGAAGAACGTGAACGCGCTGGCCTGCCGGTACCGATAGCCCGTGGCCCAGAACGGACCCACCGGCCCCGCTCCTGCCCCCGCGCACTCCCCAGGACACGCTGCCTCCTCGGCAGCCCCCACGGCAGGGCCACGTCGGGTGGGCACGGCGCCGTGCCCTCGGCCTGCCACCCTGGATGCCCTCCGGCTTGGCACCCTCTCCCACCCTGTGACCGCAGAGGTCCTCTTGGCCCTGGCCACCATCCCACCGGGGCGGTGTGATGGCAAATCTGCAGGGCCTGCCACCCTCCGGCCGGCCAGCGGGGAGAGGCACCGGGGGGTCCGGTGCCCACCGGCAGCTGGGGAGGACTGGGGTGCTGAGCCCGGCACCGGGCACCCTCCCCGGCGCCCCCCGGCCCGGCTGCCCCTCGGGGTGACCCCTCCGGCAGCCGGGTCCCCCTTTTCCTCTGCACGGGGGGGCTCGGGCAGCGCTGCCGGTGCAGCAAGTGCATGGAAGCAGCTCCCTCTGCTGCCGCCAGCCCGGCGGGGACCGGCGCGGGGATGCTGCGGGGGGGCTGGGGGGGCGGGAAAAGGGTGGAGGGACCGGGGTCCGCCCCGGGCGGGCGGGGCTCGGGGGTCGGCGGCTGGAAATGTTGATAATTAAATTATAGGGCCCGGAGCGGAGCGGCGGG